TATATAGGTCTCTGATGACCCATGTTATTTGCTCGTCAACAATATAGTTGGGGAAGTTATTATTGATGAAGTGTTTATTTTATATTTTTAAGTTCGCTATATATATATATATATATATATATATATATAAAGATATTTTTGTAGGTACAAAATTTAATGATCGAAATAAAAGTATAAAACTTAATATTACGAGACATATTAAAAAAAAAACGGGTGAAGCAACCGGTTTCGCTCCCACTCTTCAGGCTTCAACGGAAGATTTAAAATTGACACAGAAAAATGTACAATAAAAAGAATTGTAAAAAAAAAATATATGCAAAAAGAACTAGAGACAAATGACAGCGTGTCCCAACAAACACTCACGTTGTTTGCACAAAGAAGGCTTATGGGACCCGATGTAAAGTGCCCCCAGAACCTTTAGATGAAATAAAGGGTGTGACCGGGACAACACGGTGAACCAGTCAACACTAAATTTGGCTGCACAATCTCTGTTCTTTAATAGGTGTTCGCATATGGCAGAACCATAGGTGTTCGGGACGAGTCCATTCAAAGGCAGGGTGTGATTTCTAATTTTTGAAGGAACATGTTGTTTTATTCTCATGTCTAAGTGTTGAGTTGTTCTCCCTATGTAGTCGGCTCCGCAACTACAAACGTATTTGTAAACAATTGAATTAATATGGTGGGGAGGGAGAACGTCTTTACACACAGATCGAAACATAGGCCGAGTTTGAAAAATAATCCGAACTTCAGCAGAGAAAAAACAACTAACATTGGATGAAATTTGTTTAGCTATTTTTTTCACATTTGGTACCAATCCAGGGTAATCTGAGGTAAACTGGGCATTTTTTGACAGTGTAGAGCTCGGCACTTCTGAACACTTCAACTTTACTACGGATAACTGAATTAACAGTATCAAGAGGATAACCTAAATTACATAGGTATCCTTAATAATGTCTAGATGCCAAGTTGAAAAGTTTGGTTCAGAAGAAATACGGAGTCACATCTGAACCAAATTTAAATAATATTATTAATCTGTCCACGCATGAACTAACTGAGTTAGAATCTTTTGTTCTTTTTCGCGAGTTGGACTTCTCCATTCCACCCTCTATGCCTGACAAGGAGAAGATTTTTTCTGAGTTCGAGGTTTTCTATGCTCAGTTGTCAAGAGTGTCTCCTACTTCTGTCGACGCGGTGACTAATTTGAAAGCCCAGTTGAATAATTTTGCACACACTTTTTCCTGTTCCCCTGTTGCAACTGCTGAATCCAAATGGAAAGCAGAACATCAGCGTGTTGTTAATTCTCTGAGGAATAATTATGACTTGATAATTTCCAGACCAGATAAAGGTGCTGGAGTAGTTATTTTAGATCGAGCTGACTACATAACTAAAATGTCTTCTATCTTAGAAGATACTTCAAAATTTACTAAACTTGGTTCTGTTGACACCTGTGATGGAACCTCCTCAGGTGAAGCGAAATTTCAAAAATTACTTCTAAAGTGGGTAAAGTCAGGTCTAGTTTCATAAGAAATTGCCAACGAAATCCGTCCTTCCGGTTCGATTCGCCCCCGATTACATGGTCTCCCGAAAATCCATAAAGAAGGTGTACCTTTACGACCGATTTTATCTATGATTGGTTCAGCCCAACACAAGGTAGCCCAATGGCTCTCCACACTTTTGGATCCTGTGTTGCAGTGCCTGGATGGTTTTTGTATCAAGGATTCCTTTTCCTTCATCGACCGCGTTCAAAAATTGTCTTCTTCTGGTAAGTTCATGTGCTCTTTCGATGTCTGCTCCCTGTATATTTGTGTCCCTTTAATGAAAACCATTGATATTTGCAGCGATTTTCTCTATCGCAGTTCATTGACTCTACCTAGTTTTCCTGAGTCAATATTTCGGGAATTGATGAAATTTGCCACGTCCTCCGTCGAATTTACTTTCAACAACACCATGTACCGACAGATCGACGGAGTCGCTATGGGCTCGCCTTTGGGTCCGGCACTTGCCAACATATTTGTTGGCTTTCAGGGAGAAAAGATACGAGAGAATCCACTTTGTCCTCAAATGTACTGCCGGTACGTTGATGACACCTTTTGTTTATTTAACGGTGAAGTTGAGGCCGACCAGTTTCTTTCGTTTTTAAATGGTATCCATCCGGCACTGAGGTTCACTATTGAAAAAGAGTCCAATCATCAATTGGCCTTTTTGGATGTATTAGTACATCGTACATTAACAGGTTTTCTCACTTCCGTTTATAGAAAACCTACTGTCACTGTGTTGTACACACGTTGGGACTCTTTTTGTCCTACTAAGCGCAAGATTAACATTATTAAAACCTTCCTACATAGAGCATTAAAGATCTGCTCTGAGTCTTTCTTTGAACGACGAACGTGTCTAAATTATTTAACGAAACCTGTCTTAATATATATATATATATATATATATATATATATATATATATATATATATATATATATATATATATGTGTGTGTGTGTGTGTGTGTATACTCACAATTCCCCTAACACTCAAGGTAAACATAAAAATAAGGCCAGTAAGATATTATGGTTTAAACCCCGATATAATTTAAGCGTTACAAGTAAAATAGGAAAAATATTTTTTTAAATTATTAAGAAAGAATTCCCCTCCCCAACAAACATATTGTAAAATTATGTTAAATTAATTTATAGTTGTATGCCGAACATGGCTAACATAATAAATATAATCAGGAAAAAAAATCATAGACAAAGCACATTCCAACCCCCGTAAATGTAACTGTAGAAATAAGGATACCTGCCCGCTTAAGTTTGTGTTGTTTACAAAGTTGAAATACCCAGAAATATACCAAATAATAGTAATAAGAAGATTAAATCTTACATAGGATCCACACAAGGTAATTTCAGAAAGCGTTACTACAATCAACTTTAAGGATGACTAGTCTGTCTAAATAATTATGGATTATTAAACAGGAAGATTTTATTGACCCCATTTTAAAATGGGGTCAATACTAAAAGAATGCCATAAGTATTCCTTTTATTGTACATTTTTCTGTCAATTTTAAATCTTCCGTTGAAGCCTGAAGAGCGGGAGCGAAACCGGTTGCTTCACCCGTTTTTAATATGTCACGTAATATTAAGTTTTATACTTTTATTTCGATCATATATATATATATATATATATATATATATATATATATATATATATATATATATATATATACAGTGCTGTTTGGTAAAAGTGACTCACCTGATTTTTTTTACTAAATGTTCTCTTCTCCGATGAAACGAAAGTTGAGCTAAATTTAAAGGATAAGCGATCTAAAATCCGAAGAAGAAGCTTTGAAAGCTCTTTGAATTTAGCAGTAAGTACTGTCAAGCATCCGTTCAGTATAATGTTCTGGGGATACTTTTCTTTTCATGGAACTGGTTTCTTAAAACCTATTGAAAAGCCCCTCAGGAGCGAGCATTACAAGAGAATTTTAGAGTCTTGTCTGCTCCCTTCTGATGAAAGGGTGCAAATCAACCCCACCAAGCTCATTTTTATTCAGGATAATGCTCCCTGTCATGAATCAAAATTGATGAAGGAATACTTTGGTGAGAAGCAGGTGAGTGTTATGACATGGCCGCCTCAATCTCCTGACCTCAACCCCATAGAAAACATATGGAGTATGTTGCTCAACTGCTTTCTCGAGAGCCTGTACTTTATAATTATTTATAATATAGATTTAAGCTAGCTCCTGCAGAGGGATCATGATTGGGCCTGCATCACAAAAGGTGGGGAGGAATAGATGCGAAAGGCCACAATAAACTATAGAAGAACTCAAAATTGATCACTGCATTAATATTTAAGCTTACCTTTTAAAAGTTCTGCCACCACTTAATTTAAAGACAATTTGATGTACGTAGGTCCTTACTTTCCCTACAAACAATTATTTTTAATTCATAGGTGACTTTCGCAATTAATTTATTCCCAAAGTTATGAAAATTGTTATCGTATTGTTATCGGATCATATTGTCGCAATAAAATCACGTAAAGATCGCGGAAAACAATCGCAGTAAAGAAAATTGGGGAATCCAAAATTTCAGGATTACGGGTCCGGTCAAGGCCCGGAATGTTTTTAATTTCCTCACAGAGTTGGTATGATTCCAAAATGGTATGATATGTTGAGCTACGGCCTCTCGGAGTAAAGTTGAAAAAGCGTGACACACTGACATTCGCATTTATTATATAGAAGAAGAAGATTAAAACAAAACTAAGAATTTCTAATGAAAAATAGAAGCCTTGATCTGCTATGAAGAGTCAAAATACTTGCAAAGAGCGAAAATGTTGCATTGAAACCATTTAGACTTGTTTGTGCCGAAAATGGATTCAGAACCGCCAAAAAATCATGTAGAAATGGAGGTCTGGATAATGATTTTCTGTTAAATACAAAAAGAGTTATATTAAAAATTGTTGCTCCGCATATGCTACTAAATGCGAATAAAAGGTTAATTAAACGTATGAAACGAACTCAGTACGTGTTAAATAGGCCCCCCACTCACGAGAAAAGTTTTTAAAATGCCCCCACCCACGAGATTAGCTTTAAATAGGCTCCCACCCACGAGATTAACTTTAAATAGGCTCCCACCCACGAGATAAGTTTTAAATATACCTCCATCCATGCGATAAGTTTTAAATATTTCCCCACCCACGAGAAGTTTTAAATATGACCCACCCACAAGATAAGTTTTAAATATGCTCCCAGCCTTGAGATAATTTTTAAATATGCCCCACCCACGAGATGCTTTTTAAATATGCCCCACCCACGAGATGCTTTTTAAATATGCCCCACCCACGAGATGCTTTTTAAATATGTCTCACCCACGAAACGATAAATTCTCTTACGTTTTGCAGATTCAAATTGATTTTATTATTTGACAGCGGATAAAAAAGAATATATATATATATATATATATATATATATATATATATATATATATATATATATATATATTATCAATTTCCCTAAACAAAGGAATGACAGGATAGAGATAGCCATAGCGAAAAGTGAGTTGAAGAAAGAGAGAGGAAGAAAAATACAAAGCGGCAAGCAATGAGAGAGAGAGAGAGAAAGGTGAAGAACGGGATAAAGTTATTAAACAAAAAAATAATAGGACCTAATTGGTGGTTGAGATAGTTGTAATCATATTCATTTCTTTTCGATGGGATGTTGCAAGTGTTCTTTCAGCTAATGTTTAGTTCATTTTTTTTTTTTAATCAATTCACCCCAAGCAAGGCGATAATGCCACTAAGACGCAAGGGACTACTTGGAGTGAACAAGATTGCAAATATTTTAGAAGAAAACAAAAACGTAATCTTCAATAGGAAACGAGGAATAAACCTCTACTCCTATTCAAATGAATGCGAAGCGGACGATAGACGAAAATGTCTATTTATATTGAGAAAAATTGTAAAATAATTTTCAATTTTTAGACGGAGACGTTGGAAGTAGACTTTAGAAGGAACCGGAAACTCAGTCCTAAACAGTGAACAAGAGATAAATGACTACTCCTGTTCAAAAGACTAGAGAGGAGTGTGAACCGGACGATGGGCGAACCTACCTACTCCTATTGAAAAATAAATAAGCAGTAAATAAAATTTCAGTGTTTAGGTGAAGACACTAAATGTAAAATCGACTTTAGAAAGGAAGCGGTAACCGAAACATTAACAGGAAACAAGGGATAAATCCCTACTCCTGTTCAATTGACCGGGGAGGGTGTGCAGGAAGGAACGTGAACATATTTAAAAAAAAGGAAGTAAAAATGAATAAATAATTAGTAAATATCAGACATTTTTGTTAGCCTTCTTCAAATTTAGGGAGTTTGGTTTGTTTTGGTTTGGTTTGGTTTGGTTTGTTTCGGTTTGGTTTGGTTTGGTTACGGCATGGCAACTGCAATGCCGACAAAATTTTTATTGTTGGTAATTTTTTTTTTTTTTTTACAAAAATCTATTTCTGGTAATATGTTTTCTTTCGAAAAATCTATTTCTAACAATATTTTTTCTTTAAAATTTTCTTTTTGGTAATATTTTTTTCTTTTAAAAAATCTATCTCTGGTAATATTTTTTCTTTCAAAGAATCTATTTCTGGAAATATTTTTTTTTTAAAAAAAAGTCTATTTCTGGTAATATTTTTTCTTTCAAAGAATCTATTTCTGGAAATATTTTTTTTAAAAAAGTCTATTTCTGGTAATATTTTTTCTTTCAAAGAATCTATTTCTGGAAATATTTTTTTTTAAAAAAAAAGTCTATTTCTGGTAATATTTTTCTTTTCAAAATCTATTTCTGAAATATTTTTTTAAAAAAAAGTCTATTTCTGGTAATATTTTTTCTTTCAAAGAATCTATTTCTGAAATATTTTTTTTTTTTTTAAAAGTCTATTTCTGGTAATATTTTTTCTTTCAAAGAATCTATTTCTGGAAATATTTTTTTAAAAAAGTCTATTTCTGGTAATATTTTTCTTTTTCAAAGAATCTATTTCTGGAAATATTTTTTTAAAAAAAAGTCTATTTCTGGTAATATTTTTTCTTCAAAGAATCTATTTCTGAAATATTTTTTTAAAAAAGTCTATTTCTGGTAATATTTTTTCTTTCAAAGAATCTATTTCTGGAAATATTTTTTTTTTAAAAAGTCTATTTCTGGTAATATTTTTCTTTCAAAGAATCTATTTCTGAAATATTTTTTTTTTTTAAAAAAGTCTATTTCTGGTAATATTTTTCTTTCAAAGAATCTATTTCTGAAATATTTTTTTAAAAAAAGTCTATTTCTGGTAATATTTTTCTTTCAAAGAATCTATTTTCGGTAATATTTTTTTCTACAACAAACTATTTCTGTTAAAATGTTTTCTTCAAAAATCTGTTTCTGGTAATAATTTTCTTTCAAATATGTATTGCTGGTAATATTTTTTCCCTTTTTTTTCCAAAAATGAATAGCTAGTAATTTTTTTTTTTTTGTTGTTGTTTAAATGAATAGGTGGTAATCATTTTTATGCAAAAATGTATTATTAGTAATATTTGTTTTTCAAAAATGTATTGCTGGTAATAAGTATTTTACAAAGTATTTCTAGTTTTAAAACCTATTTTTGCACTTTCATAGTGTTTTGACCCCAGTTTAGAGGTTAACTATTTAACCATAGCTGGGACCCATAACAAGTGCTTCCACCTCGGGTCAGGATGGACCTGTTAACACCAGCAATTAAGAGGTGGTTCCACGTTCCTCAGAACCTCCTGATCAGAGGCCGTGCTGTTGGACGTAGTTTATCGTCTTACCGAGAACCTGGATGTCGTTTATCGGCTTACCCAGGACGCGGATGTAGTTTAGCGTCTAACCCAGAACGTAAATGCCGTTTATCGTCTTACCCAGGACGGGTAAAGGGCGTCAGAGACAAAGTAAATCAAGAAAAAAATCGTGGTAATTTGATGCAAATTTTTGTGATAACGCCTCCTAATATAATGTATTTTTTTTTAAAGTGTCAAAGTTAAACCTGACTTTTACTTATAACATTGATTTCAACAAGGTCCCAATGACTTTTCTTTCAAAAAGAAAAAAAAAAGGCACAAATAGCAACTGACCAGAACTAAGCATCTAAAAAGTAATTAAATAAACAAGAGCTAAAATTACCAAAAGAGTTTAAATTTGGGGATTTCCCATGACGAAAATATATTGAGCACTCCTCAAAAAATATTCGAATAGAGGTCTAAATCTTAATTTTCTAATAGATCCAAGGACAGCCATGTCAAATATTTGGCATCCAGCATATGGCGCCCAAAATTGGATAAGGATAAATTTAACATATGAAAGGGACTGTCATCTTTTGACTGCTCCCCCACCCGCTTACCTCCCGAAGTGGGTTCACACAACAGAGACAAACTGACATGTTTGATTTTTGAGCTCCTTCAATGATTTTCAGCTCAATTATGTAACTGTATTATTGTTATTTGTACAGTGTAACCCGGATATAAGAGAGTTGTCGGGACCAGAGAAGAAGTCTCTTATATCCGGGTTTGGTCTATTTTATATACATTAACACAGGCACTAATTTGGGACCAGAGAAAATCTCTCTTATATCCGGGTTTCTCTTATATCCGGGTTACACTGTACTTGAAAGGGAAATTAAGACAAAACTTTCTCATTTTTAATTAAAACCCTGGACTTCAATTAAGAGCCCAAATTTCCAAAAGATCTTAAATTTGGGGATTTTCCGTGATAAAAATATATTCAGTACCCTCTCAAAACCATTCAAATAGACGTCTAGATCTTAATTTTCTAATAGATCCAAGGAAGGTTATGTCGAAAATTGATATTTGGTGCCCAAATATATGGCACCCAAAAGTGGATTAAGATAAATTTAACATATGAAAGGGACTGAATATGTTTTAAATATCTTCCTGGGAACATTTTTGCAAATTTAAATTGGTTTAATATTTTGAACTTACGCTAAAAAAAAAATGGAGAAAAAATTTTTTGTTGAGCATTTTTTGTTTGTGTTTAGTGATCAGAGACAAAACAAAAAACTGGCAAAAGCATGGCAAAAAATTGTCTTCATTTGACTGAATTTTTTGTATTGTAAGGCTTCAAAATCTACTTGATATAGGTCATTTTTGATAAAGAGTCTTAAGTTAAACCTATCAGTCATTTACTAACAAAAAGAATCAGAAAACCAACTTCCCAGAAGTGATCATCTAAAATTAAATGATTAAATGTACAAGTTCTGATTAACTTTAAACAATCATAACTTGACAAATACTTGAGTTAGGACAAAATTAAGTCAATTCTGAAATCCTAACACTGTCTACTTCCAGATATAACACATATCACTCGGTCAGAAAATACTAAATGCCTGTTTGTAATTCCATTGTGCTTCTTTGGTTGTCTGTTATGTTTTACAATCTTTAAGAGAGCATGTCTTCCAACCTGACTCTCATATCCTATTCTATATACCTACCCCCTACTCTCTTAGGACTGTTCTCCTGTGACCTACATGTGGAACCCATGATCTTTCCATAAATTAGGTGAATTTTACCTGCTCTCTCACTTTTTGAGTCATACTTTGAGGCCCTCAAATTTATTGTTTGTTCTATCTTGATTAATGGCTTCCATACACTTGACCTGCCAATCAAATGATTTCAGCTGAGCATGTGTGTTGATTCTTATTCATTGATGCTTTTATCTGAAAATGGTTACAAGAGTTTCTGGGCAGAAACATTGTAGATGACATGCATAAAAGGGGAAGCACATATCTCCATAGCTTTTCAAAATACAGTAAAACATCTCAGCTTGCATTTATTATTAACCAATTCTTGTCTAAATTTATTTTTTAACAAAATTTGGCAATCATTTGCACACATTTCCATGTTTTTTTTTTTTTTTAAAATTTTTCATTATATTTTAGATAAGATATACATTGGCATTCTTGAATGTTTGCTGTCCTTTGGAATTATTACTTTTTCCTGTTTTAAGGGTCAGTAAGGGGGAATTGTCTTGTATCTCTTGAAACCATCCAACTGGCATGAATATTTTCAGTTACAATACTCATGTAAATATATTAAGTGTTTTATATTACAATTAAAATAATTAATGTCTATAGCTTAATGATGAAAAAATGTTTTACACAACAGATATAATCTCCTTTCTTGTCAATGCACTTAATACTTCTCCATTAATCATATCGATATACATTATACAGTGAACATTTTAGATCAATATCTGTCTATATTTCTGAGATGAGGTATTATGTACATTATTTACATTATTCGGATTATTGTCTTCATGTTTGTCTCCATATTTATTACAAAATAAAGGGTTCAGTTCGACATTCCAACCACCTGAAGAAGGCTGGAGCGTACAACGACCGAAAAGTTGTAATAAATATGGCGACAACGATGAGGACAATAGTCCGAATAATGTAAATAATTTTAGATCAAATTTCAGCTAATAACGGTGTCAGTCTACATACTTATTGATTCACACTTTTCATCAGCACTCATTTGCATCTGATCATCGGGACCATCGTCCACTCACCCAATTTCCTCCACCACCTCCTGGTGGCGGAGACGGTGGTGAATGAAAGATAATTTGACAAGGACTTTTGCATAAATTTGATTTGGGTGGACAACTCTGAATATTGGAGAAGCACTCATGCTTGGCCAGAGGAACCTTCCTTGCGGCTCAAAGGGAAATGAGACAGGCATGATCTGGCAAACCTGGTTGCATCGGGCTTTCAGATGCTTGGTCTGTCACGGTCAACCCTGATTACGTCAGTCCGACTGATGCTGCCCTCTTCTGCTGGGTTGGCCATTAAGATCACGAAGATCTTTGGACATACCTCCATAGCTTTTCAAAATACAGTAAAACACCCCAGCTTGCATCTATTAATAACCAATTCTCGTCTAAATTTATTTTTTTTAACAAGATTTGGTAATCATTTGCACTCATTTCCATGTGTTGGCAAAGTCAGACCAGTTTAAAAATCCTGGGATCTACTTTCAGAATGGCCTCCATCACATGGAAAATGTTGCAAAAATGCCAAATCTCTGAGTTAATGGCAAAGTAAAATCGACCTTCTGATAAAAGAAGTTCAAGCAATAGAAAGAAGCGCTATTTCCTAATATCAGTCATCTTTTTAACTTTGAATTGTTGGAGAATTTCCGGACAGGAATCATATTTAACCTTCGTGTGTACCTCACAAATTTAGCAAGTTCGGTACTCACAAGGGGACTCCTTGCTTGGTAAATACAGACTGAAGACAATGGAAATGTTTAATGTAATTAGAAAATGTATACCTTTGTGTGTGGGGGAGGGTTTGCATTGTAATTTAGAAAGTGAGCTTTGTCGAAGTTCGTTCCCGATATAGAACAATCTAATATAAAAGTTTACCTAATCATGATTTACTAAGCCAATATATATATATATATATATATATATATATATATATATATATATATATATATATATATATATATATATACAGATGGAGAGAGGAGATGATAGACTAACACAGATAGTGGCAAAGGATAGATAGATAGATAGATAGATAGATAGATAGATAGATTTCAAGAGACAGATAGATAGATAGATAGATAGATAGATAGATAGATAGATAGATAGATAGATAGATAGTGAAAAAGAAACGATCGGCAGAAACAGACAGAGAGACAGACAGAGATTTATTGCTGGATAGATAGATAGATAGATAGATAGATAGATAGATAGATAGATAGATAGATAGATATGAACAGACTGGGATAGATAGAAATGAACAGACTGGGATAGATAGATAGAATAGATAGATAGATAGATAGATAGATAGATAGATAGATAGATAGATAGATACGAACGCACTAGATATATATATATATATATATATATATATATATATATATATATATATAGATAGATAGATAGATAGATAGATAGATAGATGTGAACATCTCAACAGCGGGCCAATCATTAAGAGGACACGAGACAGTGATTGTATGGAGGAAATAAAATGAAAAAGAAATCAAACTCAATTACAAGCAAATGCCTGTCAGAAAATGCTTTTTCTCTATATATTTCTTCCTTTTGACAAATTTGCTAATAACTGTGGGCGGAAGATTCACGGAGAACTGGTCGGTTCTGTAGTTGAACAAAATAAAAAGGTAAATATGATTTCGCAGTCAGACGAGAAGTAGTGTATGGAAAAAAAAAAAATTTTCAAAATGAATAATAATCTGCCAAGTAAGCGACCATGGTGTCGCTGATGAGGCAAATTGTAATCAATCGAATTAGGGGTTCTTTTAATGGAAGATGTAGAAAGGCAGAGTTTGAAGCTCGGGCATTAAATGTGGGGAAACGAAGCGTGAGTGGAATGAGTCTGTTTTCATTAAAATAAAGGAAGCAGGGAGGAGTGAATAAGAATAGGAAAAAGAAGGTTTAATTTGGAAATCAAACAATGGCGATAGATAGATAGATAGATAGATAGATAGATAGATAGATAGATAGGGGAAAAAAGAAAGAAAGAAAAAATATCGGTGAATATAGGAAATGAAGTAAGACAAAGAGAAAGGAAAGGAAATATGGAAGAATATAAAAAATTAAAAAAAGAGAGAAAAATGAATGAATTAAAGAAAGACAAAAAGAAAGAAGGTACTGTAAAAAATGTAGAAAGAAAGAAAGAAAGAAAGAACGAAAGAAAGAAAGAAAATATCGATGAATATAGGAAGTAAAAAAAGACAAAGAGATAGGAAAGGAAATATGGAAGAATATAAAAATTAAAAAAAGAAAGAGAGAAAAATGAATGAATTAAAAAAAAGACAAAAAGAAAGAAAGAAAAAAAAAATGTAGAAAAGAAAGAAAGAAAGAAAGAAAGAAAATATCGATGAATATAGGAAGTAAAAAAAGACAAAGAGATAGGAAAGGAAATATGGAAGAATATAAAAATTAAAAAAAGAAAGAGAGAAAAATGAATGAATTAAAAAAAGACAAAAAGAAAGAAGAAAATAAAAAATGTAGAAAGAAAGAAAGAAAGAAAGAAAAGAAAATATCGATGAATATAGGAAGTAAAAAAAGACAAAGAGATAGGAAAGGAAATATGGAAGAATATAAAAATTAAAAAAGGAAAGAGAGAAAAATGAATGAATTAAATAAAGACAAAAAGAAAGAAGGAAATATAAAAAATAGAAGAATAAAAAAATTAAAAAAAGAAAGAGAAAAATTAAAAGAAAAGAAAAGAAAAAGAAAGAAAAAAATTACTGAATAAATGAAGTAAAACAGAGAGAAAGAATGAAAATATGGAAGCACGTAGAATTGTAAGAAAGAAAGAAAAATGATTAAATTAAAGAAAGAAAATGAAAGAAGATAATATAAAAATAAAAAAGAAAGAAAAAAGAAAGAAAAATATTTATCACTAAATGAACGAAAACAAGACAGAGAGAAAGAATGAAAATATGGAAGAATATAAAAAATTAAAAAAAAGAAGCAATGTAACATCAAATTAAAGAAAGACAAGAAAATATATAATATAGAAAGAAAGAATGAAAGAAAGACATGGATGAATAAATGAAATACGGAAACTCAAAGTGACATGAAGAAAGTAGGGAATAATATCGGAATGAAATAAAAAGAAAAAAAAAGAGAGAAAATGTATGAATTAAAGATATACAAAACAAAGAAGAAAATGTGCCAAAAAGAAAGAAAGAATGAAAAAAGAAAGAAAATACCCATCAATAAACGAAGGAAAGAAGGACAAAGAAGATGAAATATGGAAGAATACTAAACAGAGAAAACATGAATGAGTCAAGGAGAAACAAAATAAATAAGAAAATATTGAAAAATATAGAAAAATAGAAAATATTGTTACATGAATGAAGCGGAAGAATGATAAATAGAAAGATGGAAAATATAGAAATTAAGGAAAGAAAGAAAGAAAGATTGAAAATATGAAAGAATGAAGAAAGACAAAAACGAAGAAGAATTAAAAGAAAGACAGAAAATAAAAGAAAGAAAGAAAATATCGAGGATTGCATGAAGTAAAGAAAGAATGAAAATATGGAAGAAACTGGAAATTAAAAAAAGAGAAAGAAAAAACGAGAAATACATTTTGATATTTGGCGAAGTGGTACGTGAAGGTTTTCAATTACGAAAGTCATTACATATGAAAAGAAGAGGATTTACACATAAAAGTGAACATTAAAATTTTAGTTTATCTCATGATTACATATATAACGAACAAATACGTCAACACTTTCATTCTCTCTAATGATTACATATATAACGAATAGGATTTATTAAACAAATACGTCAACACTTTCATTCTCTCTAATGATTACATATATAACGAGTAGGATTTATTAAACAAATAGGTCAACACTTTCATTCTCTCTAATGATTACATATATAACGAATAGGATTTATTAAACAAATACGTCAACACTTTCATTCTCTCTAATGATTACATATATAACGAATAGGATTTATTAAACAAATACATCTACACTTTCATTCTCTCTAATGATTGCATATATAACGAATAGGATTTATTAAACAAATACGTCAACACTTTCATTCTCTCTAATGATTGCATATATAACGAATAGGATTTATTAAACAAATACGTCAACACTTTCATTCTCTCTAATGATTGCATATATAACCAATAGGATTTATTAAACAAATACGTCAACACTTTCATTCTCTCTAATGATTGCATATATAACGAATAGGATTTATTAAACAAATACGTCAACACTTTCATTCTCTCTAATGATTACATACATATATAACGAGTAGGATTTATTAAACAAATACGTCAACACTTTCATTCTCTCTAATGATTACATACATATATAACGAGTAGGATTTATTAAACAAATACGTCAACACTTTCATTCTCTCTAATGATTACATATATAACGAATAGGATTTATTAAACAAATACATCAACACTTTCATTCTCTCTAATGATTACATACATATATAACGAGTAGGATTTATTAAACAAATACGTCAACACTTTCATTCTCTCTAATGATTACATATATAACGAGTAGGATTTCCTAAAAAATACGTCAAAACTTCATTCTCTCTAATGATTGCATATAACGAATAGGATTTATTAAATACATGAACACTTTCATTCTCTCTAATGATTACATATTTAAAGAGTACGATTTATTAAACAAATACATCAATAATTTCATTCTCTCTAATGATTACATATATAACGAGTAGGATTTATTAAATAAATACGTCAACACTTTCATTCTCTCTAATGATTACATATAAAACGAGTAGGATTTATTATACCAATACGTCAACATTTTCATTCCCTCTAATGATTACATATATAATGAGTAGGATTTATTAAACAAATACCTCAACACTTTCATTCCCTCTAATGATTACATATATAACGAATAGGATTTATTTAAAAAAATACACCAACACTTTCGTTCTGTCTAATGATTACATATATGACGTGTAGGATTTATCAAACAAATACATCAAAACTTTCATTCTATCTGATGATTACATATATGACGAGTAGGATTAATTAAACAAATGATTCAACACTTTCATTCTTTCTAATGATTACATATATAACGAGTAGGATTTATTAAACAAATACATCAACACTTTCATTCTCTATAATGATTACATATATAAAGAGTTGGATTTCTGAAAGAAATACATCAAATTTTCATTCTGTCTAATGATTACATATATGACGTGTAGGATTTATTAAACAAATACGTTAACACTTTCATTCTCTCGAATCATTACATATATAACGAGTAGGATTTATTAAACAAATACCTCAACACTTTCATTCCCTCTAATGATTACATATATAACGAGTAGGAATTATTAAACAAATACATCAACACTTTCATTCTCTCGAATGATTACATATATAACGAGTAGGATTGATTAAACAAATACATCAACACTTTCATTCTGTCTAATGATTACATATATAACGAGTAGGATTTATTAAACAAATACGTCAACACTTTCATTCTCTCTAATCATTACATATATAACGAATAGGATTTATGAAACCAATACATCAACACTTTCATTCTCTCCTACTGATTACATATATAACGCATATGATTTATTAAGCAAATATTGTCTCTAATGATTACATATATAACGAGTAGGATATCTTAAACAAATACATCAACACTTTCATTCTCTCTAATGATTACATATATAACGAGTAGGATTTATTAAAAAAATGCGTGAACACTTTCATTCTTTGTAATGATTACATATATAACGAGTAGGATTTCCTAAAAAAATACGTCAAAATTTCATTCTCTCTAATTGCATATCTCACGAATAGGATTTATTAAATATATGAACACTTTCATTCTCTCTAATGCTTGCATATATAACGAGTAGGATTTATTAAACAAATACATCAACACTTTCATTCTGTCTAATGATTACATATATAACGAGTAGGATTTATTAAACAAATACGTCAACACTTTCATTCTCTCTCATATGTATGTCTGGTATGTATGAGGAGATCTATTTATGAAGTAGATTTGTCAAAGATTTACGACCTTTTAATCATTACCAATAATACTGCGACGGAAATAGTTGAGTAAATGCAAAATAATTGCACGATTTTGTATATATTCTGTTTATATTCTGTTTATATCAGCCACTGAATTCAATAAGCAAGCACATAATAATCATTGATTAATAATCATACTGAATTCATACAAGAAATCGACATAATTAGGCGCAATTTTCTTATTATTTTTCTCTTTATCCAACCATTTGTTTTATTTCACAATACTTCTGTACCATTTTTGGCAGCTAAATGTTTGTAAGCGTAGGAAAAATTCATCGATCACTCAATAAGAAACTTTGCAACAATTCAATGTTAATTGTATTTGGCTTCTCTCTATCTGAGGTACTGCACATTCAAATTAAAAATAATCAGTATTGTTAGGTAGAAAATGAAAGAATGATGAATAGTGTCATATAGGAATAAAGTGTCGCTGAAGACACTTGAATTTGAACATGGATCGCCAGTGAGCAAACACAGGCAGAGAGTTTGACCAGCACGGCTGGAGACGAATCTCTAACTGCAGTATATCTACCAACCGCTACACGCAGTAAGACGTGGCCCGAGGCAGAATTTAATATGCGATATCCGAGCCCGTACGCTCGGCCAAAAATTCCCCGTAGACCTCCGTAGCTGTTTCCCGAGACGAGACTCGCCTATTCTGGGGATCCTCTCTGCCCGGACAGAGACAGTTTGACCAGCACAGCTGGAGACGAATTTCCAACTACAGACCAACATACAGTATTTACTACTGTATGTATGTGATGGGGATATATCTATTATCGTCCGTAGATATACTACAAGAGAGCAAGAGTTACAAGCGATAGTAATTAGTGGAGAGCATTGAACATCAAGGTTCTGAAGGAGCAGGGCTCATAGAATAAGAAATAGGAACTCCAGTGTAGTAGAATGAGATGAATAAAAATGTTCTATGCTTTGCAAGTATTCAGATGCAGCGACCAATCAAATTCGTCGTAACCGCTTCGAAACGCCAACGGAAATCTGAGCAGGTAACTTAGTCGTCTGCTTATCCATTGAATGACGATATAAATTGTGAAAGATGGCGTGGGCGATGTAATAAATAAATAATGCATTAATGAATAAATGCAATTAAATCAGGCAAACGAATAGTAATTACATTTATAAGCGAATGCGTAAACAACCGAAGACTAAATATTAGAAAGGAAAATATTTACTAATAAATATCAAATACGAGACAAGGTAAAAAAAAATTTAACACGAACAAAGATTGAGTTTTATTCCTCTTTTTAATTAATAAATTTGATTAGGTTTTGCCGATATGTTATTTTTATTTCATATATAAAATGTTAGAAAACATTTTAGAGTTTATTGGATAAAGAAAAGCTTAATTTAGTAGGACACGGATATCTAATCAAGACAATTTGGCGCCAATCATACGAACGTAAAGGACCTGTCAAATTTTCAAATTAGTTGTCCTTGGTCTAGATTTTTAGCTGGGTACTGATACCAGTCAAAAATATAATTAGCATGTAAGGAGTGATTAATAAAAAAAATAACAAAACTGTTTAGTATCTGTCTATATTTCTGAAATGAGGTATTATGTACATTATTTACATTATTCGGACTATTGTCCTCATATGTGTCGCCATATTTATTACAACGTTTCGGCCCTTCAGTATCTGTCTATATTTCTGAGATGAGGTATTATGTACATTATTTACATTATTCGGACAATTGTCCTCATCTGTGTCGCCGTATTTATTACAACGTTTCGGCCCTTCAGTATCTGTCTATATTTCTGAGATGAAGTATTATGTACACTATTTACATTATCCGGACTATTCTACTCATCTTTGTCTCCATATTTATTACAAGGACACATGTCACAGTGGATAAAGGCGTTGGTCAGATCCAGTAACAGGACCAAAAAGAGTGTAAGTTCAATACCCGGTTATGGCAGTGGAGAAATTTCAGAGGGAAAATTAGCAGGAGATAACTGATAATTGACATCCATTAAAACATGGCACGTGGAACTAGAACAGTCTACCGCAGTGAGCGAAATAAAGGGTTCAGTTCGGTATTCCAACCACCTGAAAAAAACGTTGTGATAAATATGGCGACAAAGATCAAATTTCAGCTAATAACGGTTATTGATTCACACTTTTCATCAGCACTCATTTGCATCTGAGCATCGGGATCATCGTCCACTCTCCCAATTTCCTTGTACGCTCAGGCCTTCTTCAGGTGGTTAGAACATTGAACTGAACCTTTATTTCTAGTTCTAGTTCCGCGTACCATGTTTAATGGATTTCAGTTATCAGTTATCTCTTGTTAATTTAACTCTGAAATTTCTCCACTGCCTTAACCGGGTATTGAACTCACACTCTTTAAGTCCTGGATCTAACTAATGCCTTGATCCACTGTGCCATGTGTCCCTGAGGACATCTAGGTATGAATTTCTGAGTATTATAAACCTAATGTCTTCAGCAACCTGTTTTACCAGTGCTCATATTGCAATTTTTGCTGTTATCAATCATGTTTTTACCCGAGCTCATATTTCAATTTTTGTTGTTAGAACAGTCTACCCCAGTGAGCGAAATAAAGGGTTCAGTTCGACATTCCAACTGCCTGAAGAAGGCTGGAGCGTACAACGGCCGAAACGTTGTAATAAATATGGCGACCAAGTTGAGGACAATAGTCCGAATAATGTAAATAATTTTAGATCAAATTTCAGCTAATATCAGTGTCAGTCTACATACTTATTGATTCACACTTTTCAACAGCTCTCATTTCCATCTGATCATCGGGACCGTCGTCCACTCCACCAATTTCCTCCCCCACCTCCTGATGGCGGAGATGGTGGTGAATGAAAGAGAATTTGACAAGGCCTGAGTCCGAATAATGTAAACTAGTATCGGTTTATACTTATAAAATCTTTCTCCTAAAAATTTTTTTCATGAAAAAAATGTTTCTCAAGTCCATCTGTTCATATTATTCTTTCCAGTATTGATGGGAGTTTCCTTCCTAACCTTTATCTTGAAGTGGTGTGGAACGTCAACATCTTGATTAAGTCATTTTCTCTTCGAGTTACATGTGATATCTATTTTAGCTGTAGCTGTTCTTGAATTCTTTCAAGTCATGTGATTTCTGATATTTGACACAATGCTTTGCTTGTGATTCTGTAGCGCCATTCCACAAAACTCGAAGTAGAATGTCCTTCATTCGTTTCAAAAAGAAAAAAAAATCTGTGAATATATACCAATAATAAATGTCTGGTATATCTCGTATACAGTTTAATATCCTTTTTTTTTCTTTTTTTTTAATAATTTCATCCAGAGCAAGGTAATAAAGCCACTACGACAACTTTACTGGTGTGAAAGAATATGAGAAAAAGAAAAAACATTATCAAGAATCAAGAACAATAAAAAAAAAAGCAAGAATTAATAAGACATCAAATAGCGATTGACGTTGCATTTAACTTTTTGATGATCAAATTTGACTGAAAACGAAGAAGCTGGGAGAGAGTCCCACAAACGAGAAGTGCAAGAGAAGAAAATATTAGCATAGAAATTACGGTTACATCTTGCCATTTCAACTGTAAGATGATGACACCTAACCGTCAATCTAGTAGCACGTTTAAATTCATAAAGTCTAATTGCCAAAGAACAATTGCCATGAGAATATTTATTAAAAAAAAAAGGCACAGTGAAGCTTCGTTACGGCGCTGGGAAAGCGACTGAAACCGAGATGCTACGTCAGGGCCAATGACATTGCAGATTCTTCATTGGATTATATCAAGAATCTCTAAATACAAACAGAAGCACCAGGCCAGATGCCAGTCCTGGATATGACAATAAACTATATCCACGCCCTGGGTAAGGTGATAAACTACGTCCAATAGCAAGGTCTCTGATCAGTAGGTTTTGAGAAGCGTGGAACCACCTCTTAACTGCTGATGTTCCCACCTTGACCCGGGGTTGTAGCACCTGTTATGGGTCCCAGCTATGGGCAAATAGTTAACACACAAACTGGGGTCAAAACACAATGAATGTGTAAAAACAGGGTTTAATACCAGAAATACTTTTTTCGTAATAATTATTACCAGCAATAAATTTTTGAAGAAAGATTTATTACAAGCAATACATTTTTGGAAAAAGTTACAAGCAATACATTTTTTGAAATAAAATTACAAGCAATATATTTGTGAAAAAAATATTACCAGCAATCCACTTTTGAAAAAAAAAATACAATTTTTGAAAAAAAAATATTACCAGCAAAACATTTTTGAAAAAAAATTATTACAATCAATATATTTTAGGGGGAAAAAACTATTAGCAGCAATACATTTTGGAAAAAATATATTACCAGCAATAAATTTTTGAAAAAAAAAATATTACCAACAATACTTTTTTGAAAAACAAATATTACCAGCAATACATTTTTGATAAAATAATATTACTAGCAATACAATTTGGGGAAAAAAATATTACCAGCAATACATTTTGGGGAAAAAATATTACCAGTAATACATTTTAGAGAAAAAATATTACCAGCAATACATTTTTTAGGGACAAAAAATATTACAATCAATACATTTTTGGAAAACATATTACCAGCAATACATTTTTGGAAAAAAAAATTATTACCAGCAATACATTCTTGGGGGAAAATATTACAATCAATACATTTTTGGAAAACATATTACCAGCAATACATTTTTGGTAAAAAAATATTACCAGCAATACATTTTTGGAAAAAAAAAATTATTACCAGCAATACATTCTTGGGGGAAAATATTACAATCAATACATTTTTGGAAAAAACATATTACCAACAATATATTTGGGGGAAAAATTATTACCAGCAATAAAAATGTTGTCGCCATTAAATAACCCATTGAATTTATACCATATGACGTAAAACAAACCAAACTAAACCAAACCAAACCAGACCAGACCAGACCAGACCAGACCAGATAAGACAGCCATATTTAATGCAAAGACGAAGAGCAAACTTATAAATATGTAAGATAGATTTTTGTCAGTCATTCTTAGTCCATTCCCTTTAGCGAAACAGACGCAAGCTGCCATCACCCGACGCTCATCTTATGTCACTTCTTGCATCCGTTTTTGCCCTTCCGGCCACTTCGTTTATGTTCAAGAGCTTCTACGCGCCGAGTGAACTTTCAAACGTCCGCCGCCTTTAATGAACCGAAGGTCGTCACTTCGTGCAAGCTTAACTGACATCAGGTTTAGCAAGTGCAAAATGAATCGTCGAAAGTGCGTATTGCGTCGGACGTGTGGAAGCGTTGGCCAGTAGGATGTGATGTAAGGCGCTGGTAGGAATCATTAGTTACTAAAATTGAAATCGCGCTTGTTTTGAAAGGTCAATCTTTGTAATGGAGTAGTTCTACGGGCTTAGCGAGGCCTACAGAAAATGTCCACAGCTCTTAGACATTCCAGCCTGTCAGTAATCGATATAAAAAAAAATTGATATCGATTACTCCGGAAATAATAATAATAATAATAATAATAATAATAAGAAGAAGAAGAAGAAGAAGAAGAAGAAGAAGAATGAAAGAGTTGAAAACAAAGAAAAGAAACTTATCGACAGCATGGATCGACTACAGAAAGGCGTTTGACAGTGTACCACACTCATGGATAGACAAGAGCCTAAAAATATACAGAGTATGCCCAACAAATGTCAAATTGATAGCAGAGAGCATGAAAAATCCAGGGGACTACACTAAACGTAAATCATACAAACGGGTCATTAACATCGAGACCAATCAACATCAAAAGCGGGATCTTCCAAGGAGATTCATTATCACCACTACTCTTCTGCCTTGCATTAGCGCCACCAAGCTGCCACAGTAACCACGGATACAAGACACAGAATAGCAGACCGAATCATCTATTCGATATTGATGATCTTAAAACGTTTGCCAAGGATGACAACCAGTTAAAAAAACAACAACTCATTATTGTCAAAACCTTCAGCGAAGACATGTATGGAGGTCGGAATCGACAAATATGCCAAAGCCATCTTCATAGGCGGTAAACTAACGAAAACTACGGATTTAGACTATCAAATATCAACAACATGATTAAGGAACAAGACCAAGATGGTACAGACAGATACTTAGGAATTAATGAAGGAAACGGAATGGAACATTCGATTATGAAGAAAAAGACCCCAAAAGAATATTACAAGACAGTGAGTTTGATACTAGAACGCGACCTTAATGGGGCCAATAAAATGAAGGTTATCACCTTAGCCATACTCGTAGTAACATACAGCTTCTACATTATTAAATGGAAGTTGAATAACATAAAAGTTTGGACGCCAAGATCAGTAAAATTCTTATCCAAATGAGGACGAACCAGCCGAAATGAGATGTTATAGGCTGTATGCACCAAGAGCTTTAAGAATTCGAGGTCAAATTCAACTTGAATTAACTCTGAAGACTGCAACAATCGGATTGGAAGCCTGCCTCACAAAAACAATGACCCTCTCTTACAAATAGTAAAACACCAAATCCACTCCATCAACAAAGAAACTGCATTCTTCAAAAAACAGCTTAATATACGTGGAATCCTATCAACAAAAAACAAAGCGAATACCATCGATGCCAAACGAGTGAAGTAGAAAGCAAAACAACTTGGTCAAATGAAATTACAACAACGCTCGAAGGACAAAGCGTTGCATGGCAAATACATAAAAAGAAACGAAAGAAGCAGATGTGGACTGACAGAAAACACACCAGTGGCCGAGGAACACCGGGTCGAAAGCTGAGACAGAAGGCCAAAGCCACGTAACCAAATTCTATCACTGTCACGTAATCAAGGATGGAACTAACCCGAAATGCAGGATCTGCGGAAAATATAATTAAACTGTCGACCATATTATCTCAGGATGTCAGGAACTAGCAAAAAAATGAATATACTCCGACATAACAAGGTAGTCACATATGTTCGCTGGAAGATATGCAATAAGCACAAAATCGAAACCACTGAGAGATGGTAGGAATAAAAGAATGATGTCGGCCAACAGAAAACACATCAGTGGCCGAGGAACACCGGGTCGAAAGCTGAGACAGAAGGCCAAAGCCACGTAACCAAATTCTATCACTGTCACGTAATCAAGGATGGAACTAACCCGAAATGCAGGATCTGCGGAAAATATGATGAAACTGTCAACCGTATTATCTCAGGATGTCAGGAACTAGCAAAAAAATGAATATACTCCGACATAACAAGGTAGTCACATATGTTCGCTGGAAGATATGCAATAAGCACAAAATCGAAACCACTGAGAGATGGTAGGAATAAAAGAATGATGTCGGCCAACAGAAAACACATCAGTGGCCGAGGAACACCGGGTCGAAAGATGAGACAGAAGGCATAACCACGTAGTTACAAATTCTATTACACTTTCACGTAATCAAAGATGGAACTAACCCGAAATGTGCAGGATTTGCAGAAAATATAATTAAACTGTCGACCATATTATCTCAGGATGTCAGGAACTAGCAAAAAAAAATGAATATAACGAGTATATAAGTGAAACAGAACAATATCTGTTCGCTTGGAAGATATTTAAAACAAAGGCGATGGAAAAAAGGCAAAACGAAACCACTAGAGATGGGTCCAAAATATTCTTTCAACAGAAAACACATCAGTGGCCGAAACACCGGTCAAAAGCAGGACAAAGGCCAAAAAATAAAAAGAAACCAATTTCTATCACTAATGCGTAATCAAGGATGGAACTAACCTGAAATGCATTGGATCTGCAATAGAAAATATAATGAAACTGTCGACCATATTATCTCAGGATGTCAGGAACTAGCAAAAATTTCATACCCGACAGGGAACAAAATAAATCGTAATCATGAATATTCGCTTTTTTTTATATACAATTTTCTTCTTATTCTTCTTATTCTTCCCATTTTTGTCAAACCACTGAGAGATTTTCTTGTTTCTATCTCTCTTAAAAGCATGATATTTTTTCTTTCTTATTCCAACAGAAAACACATCAGTGGCCATCCTTTAGAAACACCGGGTTGAGGAGACAGAAGGCCCTTTTTATTAGCCACGTAACCAAAACCTATCACTGTCACATAATCAAAGATGGAACTTTTTTCTTTTTCTTTTTGCGGAAAATATAATTAAACTGTCGACCATATTTTCTCAGGATGTCAGGAACCTAGCAAAAAAATGAATATTCCGACATAACAAGATTTCACATATATTCGCTTTTGAAGATTGTCAATAAGTCAATCGAAACCACTGAAGATGGTAGGAATAAAAAAGAATGATGTTTCTTTCCAACAGAAAAGACATCAGTGGCCGAGGAACCTTTTTCTTTCTTCAAAGCTTTCTTACAGAAAAAAGCCACTTTCCAAATTCTATCACTGTCACGTAATCAAGGATGGAACTAACTTGAAATGCAGGATCTGCGGAAAATATGATTTCTTTCTTTCTTCTTTTTTCCGTATTATCTCTTTTCTTTCTGTCTTTTCTTTCTAGCAAAAAATGAATATACTTTCCGACATTCTTTCAAGGTAATCACATATGTTCGCTGGAAGATATGCTATTTCTTAAGCTTTCAAAATCCTTTTCCACTGAGAGATGGTAAATAAAAGAATGATGTCGGCCAACAGAAAACACATCAGTGGCCTTTTCTTTCTTTCACCCTTAAAAAGACAGAAAAAAAAAAGCCACGTTCTTTCCTTTCAAATTTATCACTGTCACGTAATCAAGGATGGAACTAACCCGAAATGCAGGATCTGCGGAAAATATGATGAAACTTTCTCAACTTTCATTTTATCTCAGGATGTCAGGAACTAGCAAAAAAAATGTATTTCTCCGACATAACAAGGTAGTCACATATTTTCCCTGGAAACAATGAGAGAGAGAGTTCCTCCCTTCGAGAGAGAGAGAGAGTTCTAATACCGTAGTATCTTTCTTTCGTACGACTACCAATATTGGAACCTTCATGTTTCTATTCTTTCTTTCTTTTCTTTCATTTCTTTCATTTCTTTGTAACCTTTTTTTTTTTTTTAACCCTCTAATCTTGTTTTCCTTTTCCTTCTTTCTTTTCTTTTCAACTTTTTTCCACATTCAGTTACATTAATTGCCCTTCAGTGAAACTTTTTTCTTTAAACCTTTCTTTCTTCAAGAATAATTCCAGAAAGTGATGTTCTTTCTTTAGAGTCATGGATTTTGAAAATTGTGCTTAAACGTAATTTGACCGCAGTCGCTTATTCTGATTTAATCCTTTTCCTGCATCGTAGAACAGGTACTGAAAGAGTTTGTAATTTCTTTTCTTTCTGATATTGTGAAGAGTTATAGAGAAGTGGAAGTTGAGGAGAAAGACGATCGTTCACGTTTTAAAGCGACACGGCATCTAGTTCTTTTTTTTTTTCTTGTTCTTTTTTTTTTCCTCCCTTTAAGTGCTCCTTCCTGGTTTTTTTTTTTTTTTCCTTTCTTTCTTTATATTTCTTTCTATTCTTGTCAGATTTTATATTGTCACAGTGTGGGGTAGTCAGTAACAAAGGCGATGGAGAGAAAAAGAAAAAGAATACAGATAATTTCAGCTAGATTAAGAAAAAAAAAAAATTCTTTCAAAAATATTCTTTCAAAAAATTTTGAATCTAACTGCGTCTCTCGTTTCGTGCGCATGTGTAGACGTGGCAACTTCAACAAAGCCCAGTCCGATGAAATCCTAACCGATTAAACTCGTCACAAAAAAATAACAAAAAAAAAAAAAAGAAAAAGGAAACCTTTCCAATTTGTCATATTTATTTTACATATCTCGTAAGCCGATTGACATTGAACTGAGTTCAAATCTCATTGGATGCTCCAATATCGTAGTCTCCCTTAGTCGTTTTCTTTTTTCACGTTTCGAGAGAAATTCTTTCTTTCTTTCCTGGTCTCATCATAATTTTTCTTTCTCTTTCCGACTTTCATTTCATACATTACATGGAACAACTATTCTAGGAGGGAGAAAGGATTAAATAAATCGTTTTTTTTTTTTTTTTTAATAATCTTTCTTTCTTCTTTCTTTTTTGCTCCTCATTTTTCTTTCTTATTCTTCTTGATTCTTCCTTACATTTTGTGTTTCTTTCTTTGATATATTTGTTCTTTCTTCATTTTCTTGTTTCTATCTCTCTTACTAATGCTTTCTTTCTTTCTATTCCTTTTTCTTTCTTCTTTTTTCTTTCTTACTTTTTTCTTCCTTCCATTTCTTTCTTTCTTTCCTTCCTTTTCTTTCTTTCTTTCTTTCTTTCTTTCTCTTTCCTTCCTTTATGTTCCTTTTTCTTTCTTTCTTTCTTTCTTTCTTTCTTT